ATAGAATTCATGCAAAACAAGAACACCTTCTTGACAGTGGCGTATCTAGAACTCTAGAGCCCCTATGCAAAAAAAAAAAAAAAAAAAAAAAAAACCTCGGCTCCCCCTAATAAGTTTATAATACTATCCTCCCCACTAAAAAATCAAGGTTTGTAGGAGCAACATTTTGATAATGACTTTTATAAGATTAGGATTAATACTTAAAAATCTGATATGGACACAGATGACTTCCTTGTATTGTCTATTAAATTATACACACGTTTTGCTGCATCTCATTTCAAGTTACTTACTCGAATAATTTTAACTTAATTATCCGATCAATCAAAGGTAAGTTGAAAATGACATCAAAAATTGCAAATTTTGAATTAAATATCCCGGTCAGTTTTTGTCGTTCGTGAGTCAAACTTCTTCTAATTTATTTTTTCATAATACGTACAAAACTTTCCCAAGTATAGGAACCGAGAGACCAAATGAAAAGTTAAAATTAGTTATTCGTCGAAAATTATGTTTTTTTTTTTTTTTTTTTTAAATTTTACATAGCCAAAACATTTTTCGTCATTTAAAACACTTCTGTAATGGGAGATATGACTACGACCAACGATTGTGAAAATAAAGGCCCGGGTAAAGGGGTTGATATTGTAGCGTGCGTACGGGTTCGTTATGAATTGAATGCACAAGTCCGATGAAAAATGAACAAAAATTTACTACTATCCTAACAAAAATGCTTAAATTTCTCTCAGATATTCATGCAGTATTACAAATATCTCACAGTAGTTATCTTTTAACTACTCAAACGTTCAAAAGAACTCAATTCAAAACAGCTAGAGAAAGCTAGTCCGCGAATTCGCTACAGTCAACAAGAGCACTTTTCTAAACAAACTCTTAAAACAGCAACAAACTAACTCAATTGGGAGGTTTTCCTCCTTTTTATAAGATTTAAATCGTGCGCGAGAATTTTCGGGAATTTTCTCGAAATTAAAAAAAGGAGATATTTACTTATTAAATATTAAATGCATGCGCTCTTGTATTTTTAGTTTTCCGGCTTAGCTTTCTTTTAATAGTCGTCAAGCGCTGCACTGCGCGGGGAATGAATCAATTTACTCCTCCCACACAAAATGGATTATGCGATTACGGCAAAGCCTCGAGGGCCATCTTCCTAAGGGAAGGGATGCCTTCGCGGAGGTCTTTCTAAGGGAAACTGACTCGTATACACGTTACACATGGGGAAAACTACGTAGGCCCATGCAAGCTAAGCCGTTCGGGAGACTACCAGTGTTTAGCGACTTTACTGCTCGGCCGCTCGTGGGGCCTAGATGGATTCGGGAACGGTCAAAATGGATATTTCCATTGAAATATGATAACCGAAGTTTTTCGTGATTACGATTACTTTGTGTACAATATTCGTCGTACAAAGAAATAAGAAAGAGAACTTTTAATTTCATCCAAAAGCTTTGTTTTCAAACAAATACTACTTAAACAATCAATTAACTCATTTTATGTAGCAGAATTCAGATATTTAACAGTACTTGAGAGCATTTTTATAACGTTGTAAGGTATTTCGCCGCCTTCTTGATATGCCTTCGTGATGTAGTGGTCAGCATATTCGGCGCGTATGGTTGTTGGTAGCAAAATAATGTAAGTATTAATACTTTCTATAATCGCTTGTGTGCATAACTGAACACAGATGAACGTTGTAGTAATATACAGTATAAGTGAAATTAAAATATATTATAAGGTATTTTTCCCACTTTTTTAGCGTGTCTTCGTGGTGTAGTGGTCTGTACGCTCGGCGCGTATTCGAGAGGTCCATGTTTCGAGTTCAGCGAGGACATTGCTCATTTTCCATCTTTTCTGCTTTCAAACAAAACAAAAAAAACAAAAAAAAAAAAACCTAATGTCTCTACAGTGGCGCCCAAACTAAAATGGAGGCGGATGATGATTCTCCACCAAAAAGATTTGGCGACTGGTTCCCCTAATCTCCAGTCGCCCTTTCAAAGGGGAAGTATATAAGGTATTTCTCCCGCTTTCTTGGCATGCCTACGTGGTGTAGTGGTCAGCAAGCTCGGCGCGTATAAGAGAGGTCTGTGGTTCGAGTACCGGCGAGGGTATATCTCATTTGTCATCTATCCTGCTTTCAAAAAATACCTAATGTCTCTACAACGTCATATTCCTCCAACAATTTGACATCAGGTAAAAAATTAGCTATGTATATAACCATTGTTACTTTTTACTAAAGTTATCCGGGTTTAATCTCTTTAAAACTAACTGAAACTGATTTTATCTTTTACAGATTTTTCCCATATTTGATCAATACAATCATTTGCTTCTCAGTTTTTCTTTTCAATACAGCTTGCGATATGATGAGAACTTCTCTCGCGCTTTTTTTTTTTTTTTTTTTTTATGGGTAACGTTTGGCAGTGCTGTATTACTGTTGACCACATCTGTCCTTATTTGAAATTAACCAACATGATCTTTGTTAAGTTCAAATGAATAACAGAGTAAAATCTGTCTCTGAAGCAGACTTATTAATTACTGTATAATGAACAGAAAAAATGATCTGCTGTCTTTATTTTGGGGAAAATCGGTATCTTTTGGTCTACAAAGACCAAAATTTTAAATAAGTCCTTTCTTATCCTTTGTAAGAATTTCTGGATAATGACCAAAATCGATGAATATCTTTCATTTTTTACATCTTTAAGAGCGATTGGAATATTGTCTGACCTTTCGTCACTGTTAATGACTGTAGCTGAAATATTTTCTGATAGTTCGCCTTCATTGATTTCACGTCAAAATACTGATACACGTCCAAAAATCTTCTCTTCTGAAAAACCACACGAGAGGACTTTTGGATGGCCGCATATTTAGAGTGCCACCATGCTTTCCCCTCTGAGATTCAAAGCCGGGCCGCCTTTCGGCACGGCAGCCAGCGACGCTAACCACTATACCGGTTGGGCGGCGAAAGCTCTCCTGTAGAAGGGAATCAAAATAAAAGCATGTAGCTTTTCTGCTTTGTATTCAGTTGAAGTTTTGGTGTATTCAGTTGAAGTTTGGTGAACACTGAATTCAGCTTTTTTTGTCAGCTTCCAGGAGCCCCTTAACTGTGTCATATGACGCACAGGGCCCCTGGAAATTTAAAAGAAGATGGATTATATATATATATATATATATATATATATATGTATAGTATTTATACAAGAATCCACCTCTTTTAAGTTTAAACATACAAGTTTAAACAAAAATATGGAAACACCTTGTGAAATGCATGTTTGAAAAGAAAGAATGATTTTAATGAAATATGTAGGTGGCGCTAGCGTTTTTGACTACTGACGCCACCTATACAACTTCGTAAATGTGCTAAACAGTTCAGTTGTTGTCGGAGTACTGTTATGTGAGGTTGTCATTGCATTATGTCAGAGTTAACAGTCTTCGAACGTGGGCAAATTGTTGGAGCACGTATGGTAGGTGCTTCCGTAAGCAAGGTAGCCGAGGTGTTTTTAGTGTTTCAAGAGGTACTGTATCGAAGATTTATTCCGCATATTTGAAAAGCGGAAAAACATCATCTGCTAAATCACAGCGCGGACGAAAGTGCGTCCTGAGTGATCGTGACAGACGATCATTAAGGGCAATTGTGACGAAAAATAAGAAGACCACAGCTGCAAAAGTTACTGCTGAAATGAATGATTGTGTTACCGAACCCTTTGAGTACCAAAACAATTAGAAGGGAACTTCATAAACAGGGAATTGCTGGCCGTGCTGCAATTGAGAAGCCACTCATCAGTGATGCTAATGCCCGTAACATGATAAGGTGGTGTTTAAGTCATAAAGCCTGGACTATAGAGAGTGGAAGCGAGTAATATGGTCTGACGAGTCTTCTTTCACATTGTTTCCCACTTCTGGCCGAGTTTACGTCTGGAGAACGCCATCTCAAGCCTATAATACAGACTGCTTGTTGTCAAGAGTGAAACATGTCGGGGGTTCTGTTATGGTTTGGGCAGCCATATCGTGGTTCTCTGATAGCCCCATGATAACTGTGTCAGGGCACATGACTGCCAAAACTTATGTGAACATTTTGGCCGATCAAGTTCATCCCATGGTACAAACTTTGTTCCCCGATGGTGATGGTGTCTTCCAAGAACACAAATCCCCTGTTCACACAGCTTACATTGTCCAGGACTGGTTTTCTGAGCACGAGGATGAGTTGCCCCATCTCCCCTGGCTACCACAGTCACCAGACCTGAATGTGTTATCCACCGCCAACATCGTTATCTGAACTTGCCACCGTTTTGCAGGAAGAATGGTATAATATTCCCTTGGCAAACATACAGGAACTGTATTTATCCATTCCGAGAAGACTGCAAGCTGTTTTGGATGCCAACGGGTTTCCTACACCATATTAAGCAAAGAAACATGTTTTTTTAAAGGTGTTTCCATATTTTTGTCCAACCCCTGTATATATGTAGTTCAGCAGGACATTCAAGGGTCCTTTAAGCATCCGAGCTCTTATGTGACGGCATTCTTTGCATACCCTTATTTGCTTCTTGACCATTCTTGTACCATTATCAACTTCATAGTATTAGTAATGTAAAAAAAAAAAAAGAATCAAATATAATATAGCTATGTCTTTTCTATACTACACACGCTAAAAGCAAAATTCCTTCAATGTTATAGATTGTTTTGAAAACCACAAATAGCAAGCAAGGCTGAATTTTTAAAATAACGCTTAAATCTTTAAATAATACTTTAAAATATCAGTAGATAATTTTGTAATTTCTTTTTCCTCCTCCATTTGTTTCGTTTTAGTTTACTTTGTTAGATCGCTAGAGTTGCTGCTACCACACGGCATAAAGAGAAAATGAGATAAAACATTTTATAGCATCATACCTCCCTACTACTGTATACGTAAAATAGTAGTTCTCTTTAAAATTTAATTCTTTGATACCTAGGAATCTCAAGGTCCAGAATACCTTGAGATTTATAAAAACACTATGATATTTACTCACATTGTAACTCAGTATAGTTCCTCTTGCATTTAGTGGAGCTTCCCAAGTGATATAAACCGAATCTGCATCTTTATCAAAATCATGATCACACCTCATTTCTACATTCTGTGGAGGATCTGGTACTAGAATAAAAAGAAAAGACAAGATGTGTAAAACAGAGGCTAATAATTTTAGGTGCAGATCAAATGAAAAACAAAAGAATATATATTCTTTTACTTCCGTCTGAAGTTGTTCCTTCTAAAGGTTCTGACCAATTACCACAACCTAATGCATTGCAAGCCTGAACCTGAAATAAAGTACAGTTTTAAATTAATGATAAGAAGATTTAAGCAGCCTCTTACAAGAAATCAAAAAGCTAATATATACGATATAGTTAATGGCATCGTAACACACCAGAGAGAGTCAGAAATATGGCTACATGTTTGATCGTATTAAATGATGACAATATTACGGTTAGCGGAAATAAGATAATGCTGTTGGAAAAAATTATAAGAGTACAAGCGGGTAGTGCTGTCCGTAATTTCGGGAACAAGCTGGTACGATAAAAATAGAAAATTGAACTCTTAAGCTTACGCCAACCAGCTCAAATTCTCTTTCCCTAGCCGCTCGGCTTAGGTTAGGAGAAAAAATCGAGTTAGCGAATACACCTTGGAAGCAAAGTTCCGCTGGTATAAACGAGTCTTAACTTTAGAAAGGAAACATATGGAATTTATTTCAGAAAAAACCGATTAAAATGAGAAAAATCAGAATTTCATATTTCATTTCATACGCATTTCGCACATTTAACGATGAGCATTTCCCCCCCTTCTTTTTGATATCAATACAATGGGAAGGTTGAATAAAGCATTCGTAACTAATTTAGTTTGGCTTTGTTAAAAAATAAATAAATATAGCTAATCTTTCATTTAATTTCGTTAAATTTTCCTTATTTTTATCCTGTTTTATGAAAAATGTTTTGCACATGAAGATATTCAGTATTTTAGGTATAAATAGTAAAAAGGGCGATCAGATACAGGTCTCTCTTCTTCAGGAGCAAACTATTATAGTCTATATGTTTTATTAGCCAATATATTTTAAAACTCAGTATTTTATAATTTTAGTGTTATTCCATATGGTGAGTTTCTTTAAAATAATAATCATTATTTCAGTTTGCCTCAGAGAGAAATGTTAAAACTTTCAGATCCAGCTTTAAAAATGTAACTAAAAAACTAATTAAATCTGAAGTCTTTTTTAAATTCTTGGAGAGAGATGTTAAACTTCCAGATTCAACTTTAAAAATGTAACTATGAAAACTAATTTTACAAAATCTAGCAAATCATCATGTCATTCAATTGAAATCGAAGCTGGGTGACTAATGTTGCATTTCACTTATATCACTTATTTCACTTTAATGACCAAGTTTTTAGTAGTAAAACTAACTATATAAGATGAAAATTATAAACACTACAAAAGTAAACCATATTCTCAGCATAACTAAAATTCTCTTTAGTCATCCCAACTTCTTTCATATCAGTCATCCCTTTCTTCTTATTCATCCCAATTTCAGATATCAGGATAATAATACAACGGGTTGATGAATTTCAGAAGTCTGAAGCATCAAATAAAGGCATCTTCCAGCAGAGTAAATGCTTTAATCATGTTTATGATAAATACGGCACTGATTTAACGATTTGAGACAGTAATCTTCAGTTAAATAAGCGAAAATTAGCGGCGAAAAAATATATATAGAACCATGCCCATCTTAGAATATCACACTGCAAACACCTGAACTACGTACCGACCTGTCCGTACTCGCATAATACACAGTGTTGGAGAGAGCTGGTTTTCACTGTTAACGACACCTGGCGACTAGCAAATTAAAGACAACTCCTGCACTGTAGAATCCGGAACCAGATCAGGGGTTATCCTCGGTATAGTGATGGAGAAAACTCGACTGGGTTAGTCTATTCATTACAAGGCTCACGATCCTTACCAATGTTCCTTCATCTGTGCTACCGTACGCCTTTTCTAGATGTTTGCATAAAGCAGTAGCAAAGAATCTCTAAGGAGAGATTCCTTAGAGACTTCTTAGAGATTCCTTGGCAGTAGTTTTTGCGAGTTTCCCACAGACGACAACTATACGGAAGTCATACCTCATAACTATTGTGGTTTACAACACTGCAACTGTAATTTGTTCCTGCATATTCAGTTATCTTGATTTATGATATAAGTGCGAGCAAATCACTTTGATTTAAAATTAAGAAAAAGTTTCTATAAACTAGAAAACTTTTTCATGCCATTCGCCTACTTCCACAATATACAATAACACACTAAGGTTTGCTTCAAACATGTAGCCATATTTGTGATTCACCTTGTAGCATGAAAAGACATATAATATGGCATATATGTATATTTAAGAATAAAATGCATTTGCAAGCTTTTATTTATGTATTTTTAAGAGAATGAAGTTTTAACAGCTTTTTTTCTGATAATGGTCCGTTTTCTAATCTATGCAATTAGCAGGGATGCCAGTGTAGCGTAAAAAACTTTACCATTTTTATTGACTTTTAATTTAGATTTTATAATTTAGTTATACGCATAACTAACTATTCGTTAAAACATTTCACGCAAGTAAATAAAAGGTGCAGAGAGCGAAAAGACAGCAAACCTGAAAATTGTAGGTTTCACCAGGATCTAGACCCACAAAAATGTACATATGGTTATTACGGCCTGGTGCAAGAATATCCATAGTGTTATTTAATACAAGACTACCATTATGATGCCAAAGTTGAACGATATAATGAGTGATATTGGCTCCATTATTATGTGTTGGTCGTCTCCAGCCAAATAAGAGCGTTTCATTAGTGGATGCAAGGACGTGTACCCAGGATACTTTAGAAGGAACTGAAAATGAAACATACAAAATTTTATTATTCACAGCAGAATCACAGAAAAAGGGAAAAAGTTCTTTATTTCTTTACAACATATAATACAGGTCACCAGGATCTAAAGCCACAAAGATGTACATTTGACTTCTAAATTAACATATAATACTGTTATTTCGAAATAATAAGAAAAATAGTTTGTGAAACTACGATTGCTTTCTTTTTGCATAAGGGACTTAACAAAATTCTAGTATTCGAAGTTAATTAAATAATAATGTATAATAGAAACGAATTTAATTTTTAAACAAGAAATAAGTATTAGAAAAAAGCTAGGTAAACTTTAGCGCCAAAATTTTTTCTCAAGTGCGAATTTCAGGCAGTTAATAAATATAAGTATTTAACTACTTTAAATCTAGCATTACGTCTCTAAATTTGGCCGATAGGTTGGTTTGGTTTACGTGATTACGGGAAAGTCTCGAGGGCTATCTGCCTACGGGAAGGGATTCCTCTGTGGAAGGCTTTCTAAGGGAAACTGGTTCGCATACATTTTACACATGGGTAAATTCAAGAAAACGCCCATGCAGCCACCCCGTTCGCGGGATTTAAACCTCGGACCGAACTACCAGTGTCCAACGACTTTGCCACTCGGCTGCTGGTGGGCGTTGGCTCACTGGAAAAGTATTGTTAAGTAAAATTTTGTTTACGATGTCAAGACTTCATTGACGGTAACAATAAAATTCATACTTATTTGTAGAAGAGATATTCAATGAACGAGCAAGTTGCAGCAATTGATTGATTCTTCAAAAAATGAAAACGTTCCACTCGATTTTCGATTGAGCAAATAACTATTTCAGGTTGCTAACATTTTTACCATTACCTACTGAAAAATAAACCTTGGTTATAATAGAAAATTTAGAATGATTTTTCGCTCTCTCTCTCTCTCTCTCTTTTTTTTTTTTTTAAACTAATCTTAATATAACGAGGACTAAATACTTCAAAATGTGTTCTTTAGGAGTTATATAAGGCAATAATAAATGCTTTAGGGTTTATTAATTTTCCGCTTTTGATAAATTACATCTGTAATGTCTTTCCAAAATGACAATGTAATGAAATTTGCTTATATAACCTCTTTTATCGTTCTGTGTCAGCTGAGTTCAAAAGCAGAGCATAATATTCATTAAATCAAAATTTTATATAGGTTTTGGTAGAATTCTATCTCTCATTTTAAGAAAAGTTATGAATATTTTGTAGACTTTTCTGCAAACAATTAAATTAATACCGAGCATTCTAAGAAATGGATATTTTAGCAAGAGACCTATGTTCTACGCAACTATTATATAGTTACAACAGCACTCTACAGTATCTGTATCACTGTTAATATTTCTCTGGTTAAAATACTTGAATGGCTTTAGGACCTAGTGGAACAAGTTTCTGAAATCAATGTTTCAAAGCCAAAGAATATTACAGGCTTCCAGAAATCTGAACAACAGAAAAAAATTTAAATCCTGATATGCCCATAAATTATTAATTCTTTCATTAATTTCAGTATTTAATTAATGAAAGAAAATTAAAATAACATTCGAACAGCTGTTTAAATAATTTAAACAGCTGTTCGAATGTCAAAGAGAAAGTTGTTTAAAGGTTCCCTCACGCATGTAAAATCTTTCATTCGAAACTATTCTATATTAACTGGAGCTCAGACGCATAAAGAAATACGTTTGCTTGAATTATAGAAATTAGTCCCAGAAACGAATCGTTGAAAAGCAGGTAATATCTCTTGAAACACTATCACAGCATTCTCAAGCTCCAAAGAACAATTCATTGTGATTCACAAAATACTAAACGAACGTAGTTCGAACCAAAGATTACAGTAAAAATCTATCACAAGAGCGAATGCAGACATTTGATATACAATTTAATTATATCGATAATTGTAGTTCGTTTTTTCAGCTTCTCCAGTTCAAGCTGACGGGTTCCTACTTAGATTCTGGAATTCTTTAACTATCTGCTGCATAGTCTAGTACCCTCGTTCATCGCTGGAAAGCTTGCATTATATGGCAAAAAGCCGAAATTTTCAGCACATCATCAACTTTCGAAAGATCTGCTGTACAAAATCGCTAAAACGTGTTTAGACAGATGTTAAGGAAAATTCCGAGGGAAAGTCTGGAAATAAGACCCAGCTAGTGAGCAAAATTCTTCGGGATCTTCCCAGTCGTTCTTTACCTAGTAAGTTAGAACTCTATTTATCTGAATTCCATGTTTTTCTTTATACGGCAAGAAAAAATAATCCTGCTTTTAGTTTACTTATGCGTTTTAAAATTTTAGTCGATTTAAATCAAATAAATAAATAATAAAGAACATATACTAATGAAGTTTTTAAACTAATTTAGATGATTGGGTAGGCTATAAATAAAATTCGGCTAACTACGTTTAAAAAATATATAGCCTATAAATCTTACCAAGGAATTAATTACTTACTACAAGCCCATTTTAAAAAGTAATGGCTTAATTTTAGTTAAACGGAAATAAGCTAAGCGTTTGGTTTTGCGCAAATAAAAAAATAACTTCTATATGTAACTTTAGTATAAAAGTTAAAAACAAGGCATAACTGTATAATATTCGTTTAAATAAAATACGACATGGCTTGGGTGAATGCCCTCATTTGCATTTCATTAAACCATATTTGGCATGCAGGAGAAGGGAGAGGGATCCAGATTGTTTGAGTATTTTGAAAAAGGTATGTTTCCGTTAATTTCAGATGTTTGGAATTCTATTCGATTCGATAATTTAGTTCTTCGAAATGTCCCTGTGTATATCTACTTTGCTCTCCCTCTACCTTTCTTATTCCAGACTATTAGTTTCTTTTGTTAGTTTACTTCATTCCAGTCTGTGGGAAAATGAACGTTTTATAAGCGCTTTAGTGCTAATTTTGGCACCTAAACGAACGCAAAAGAATTGTGTTTTCAATTAAATGCAAATTAATATTAATTGTTAAAGAAACGATGAAAGTGCTCTGGATTATAATGTAAAAAATTACATATTTAAATGTATCAAATTTTTCCATTTGCTTTGACTTAAACTCTTCAGGGTAATAATAATAATAATATAAAAACTTAATAAAATAAAACCCACTGAATAAAAATTTTGAAGCTGGTTAAAATACATTCTATTATGTTCCAAAACAAATGGTTCATTTGAAATAGTCGTGTTCTCCCCCTCAAACCAAGATAATCTATTATCGAAAAGCGCTTTTTAGTCTTTGTTCGGATAATCAAGGCAAAAGCAGCGCAATATAGATATCAAAACATATTTTAAAGACATCTCTCTCTCCTCTTTTTAAACCCTCCCATTAATTAGCTACCCAAGACCGAAAAATATAATAGATCAGTCGCATAATTCATCGGAGTCCTAACGCGAAAAAGTTTGAAACACGCTTCATAAAATGATCAACTAACGTATATTACGCTTCTTTGATCGTCATCGTCACTTATCTGTTTGTAGGAAAATGAAGCTGGAATCCCTATTCCAGCTCCGAACAAATCTGGTGATAAGGTTATCCAACATCAGAATTTATACCCGCAGAAGTTTCACACTAGAATGGAGGAAATGTATTGTAAGATGACATAACTATAGCTAAGTTTTTAATACTTGTAAAGATTTATCATTGCCTAGCTATGTATGAATTAAGAAATTCTCTTATGAAAGCAAAATAAATAAATTATCTTGAAATCTTACCATCTGCTGGCATTGAAACATTCACGAAATCAAAATCACTATATCCCGCTTCATTTACGGCGCAGAGCATGAATGTGTAAGTGAGTCCCGGTAGCAAAGAGTGCACAGTATAATTTCGAACATCGCCATGAATATCATGATCAAGGTCTATCAGTGATTCATCTAAGAAATTTCTGCTCTCCAAATGAAATCGTTCAACAGGTAGATTTCCATCATACATAACATGCCACCTTAAAGTAACGGTGCTTGAATCTTCTACAGTAATATCGTTTTTTAAGAATTCAACTTCAGGAGGTTCTGTTAAAAACAAATAAAGAAATATTAATTTACACAAATATTTTTAAAAATCAGGTAGAAAATTTTAAAAATGCACTAATGGCCATTTGGTTACATAAATTTTCAAATACTTTGAACGCATTCACATAATTATGCAGAATTACCATATATATTTTGATACATTTCTTCTGAAACATTTTTACTTTAGATTTATAAAATACGCTAAGTGTTTAAGTCGGAAAAGGAAGTGGTTTCAGCATACTTCATTTATAAGAATATTAGGCTCGAAAGTTATAAACTAGTATGAAAGGATTACATTAGAATTTAAAGATATATGTAATAAAAAACACGTAGCAACATTTGTGATGAATCAGACGTTGTAAATGCATACTGAGGAAGAATTCTGATTGCGTAGAACGCTAAAATGTTGAATCCGTGATGAACAGCACACTTAGCAGTCCAGGCATATTAAATCTTTATTTTTATTTCAGTTGGCATTTGCAGCCACAATTTACTAGGGACTCTTTTTAATTGCCCCAATATTTACATTTTTGATACTGTTGCGATAGGAAAAGAGCAGAGCAAAATAGCGTCCAAGCGGCAACAGAGGTAGAAGCAAAAGTGCGCAATTATCCAGTATGGAGGCTCACCAACGTAAGGTTTTGGTTTAGGCTGTTTATTAAGAGAAAGGTTTCAGTTGTCGAAATTTTGAGTTTAGGTTCCGAATTAGCTACGTCAGCAGTTTTACGCAAGCCACGAGATATAGATTGATCTAATAATGGCACAATCCAGAAACTTTATTACGATTTTTTGAATACAAAGAGGAAACAACCAAATAAAAAATGAGGAATTAAGAGGCCATTATTAAATTGAACTACAAAGCTGATTTACATCTTTTTTATCCTACATGTTTTATATACATATATATAATTAAATAATTGAGTTAAATTAAAACTAAGGAAAAGAGTGAATTATAAAATTGAAATTTAATTAAATTATTAAAAATAATTAAGTAAAGTTACTGGAATCTACAAATTTAACCTGAGTTGAAAAAGTGATATACAAAAATATAAAATTAAAAAAAAAAAGAAAACTACAAAAAATAGTTACAATAAGCAAAAAATTGAATTATCACCGTCAGCTTTAACTTTTTCAAGAGGTGGAAGAATCTAACAACGAATATAACATCTTTTTCTGGCAAAATCAGTTATTTTTCTCTTCGTTTCTGACTCCCTGAGGCACCGAAATTATTTTAAATTATTTGTACCTTAGAAAATTAAGGTGAAAGGTGAAATTAAAGTGAAAAGGTGACATTTTTAATTTTAAATAGTCTCTGTAGATAATATATGTATAATATACAAAAATTATCAAAACTTTTCCTACAAAAACAAAATTAAAAATAGCAAAAAAATAATGCATAATAAATAAATTCTTATATTCTTAGCAGTTTTAGTGCAAGTATTAGGCTATTTATCCATATCTATCCGTATAGATAGATATAAATATATAGATAATACAAAATAAAAATAAAATAAAAAAAAAAATCCCATTTTCAGTACGGAATAAACTAAGGACAAAACTAAAAACTAAAAAACTGAAGCACAGTGGCAAACTGAAAGAAACTGGGGGGGGGGTTAAATATGCAAAAAAACCTCAAATGAAAATGAAATTTACATCTTTTCCTGCATCGTCATCAGGGATTTTGCGCAAAGAAAGAAAAATAAATTCGTAGCCGAAAACAATCAAAAGGGTTTGAAAATAAAACGTTTATCATAGGTTCAGAGCTGACTAATCTTACACGTCTCTTTGTTATAATGCTTTTATATTCAGTCTAAAAGCCTAAAAACATAGAATTTTAATTCACGAATTTTGCGAATTACTAGAACGAGCTTTGCTAATTGCTTGTATAAGCATTCATTTTCAAAGCTGAAGTATATTAAAAATTCCATAGAGCAACTAAGTAACACGGCAAACACTTCACATTTAAAGTGAAGAGGTAGACGCGCTACATAAGAATAGTTCTGAGAATGTGATCAAAGATTTCGAAATTCAGAAATGCAGGAAAAAGATATTAAGAATACAAAGCGGAACTATAAAAAATAAACATTTTCCTCCTTGATGCATATTTCATTTCACTTAGAAAAACAAATTTTCATTTTAAGATTTATCATTGTTTATATTTTGAATTACGGGAATACCAAAACATTTTAAACAGTCAGCGCCATTTAAAGGTCTTAATCCGATTCTAGTTGACTATGAATACCCCTATAAGCTCTGTCGTTTTAGAAATGTTATCATTCATTTGGCTTGCCATGAAGACTTAGATTTAATCAAAGTTACTTAAGTTACTTATAACTGATTATATACTTTGCATCTGGCACATGAATATGAGTGCCTAATTGTTATTTTAGTACATACAATACACGACATTGAAGATAAAATACCAATAGGGAATGGTCAAAAAATTATGCAAATTTCAGGGTAGACGCACGCCATCGAGTTATGTGAAATGCGCAGCTCTCAAGCGCACGTTGAAGAAGATATAAGGGAAGGAACCTGCAGAATGTTGAATTTTCGTGCCATTATTTCTGCTAGGGAAAATCATCGTAGAAAATTTCTTCTTGTCCCAGAGGACACGTGTCATAGCAGAGAATGCCAGGCGGTCGTCAATGGAGGCAGTTCCAGCAGACAGATGATTTTAAACGAGGTATGGTGATCGGACTGAGAAGTGCAGGTTGGTCCATACAGTAGATCTCAGCTGACACACACCTGAACGTGTCCACAGTGACACCACAACAGCTATGGCGAAGATGGTTGGAACAAGGAAATGTGGCAAGGGTGCCGGTGCCAGCCAGAGTGACGTCAGCACGCGTGGATTGACGCATCCGCGGTGGCGGAACCGCAAGCAACTTCTGTCTCCATTCTACAGCATGTTCAAGACACCCTGCATGTTCCCATATCGATCAGAACCAACTGCAGTCGCTTAATGTTTAGTGGCTGCACTCGTGGCGTCCGTTAAGAGACTACCATCGGCCCGACATCATAGACGCCAACGACGTTTGCAATGGTGCCTGGCTCGAGCGATGAGTACGAAGAATGGCACAGGGTCATATTCTCCCATGAGTCACGCTTCTGTTTCTCCAATGATAGCTGCCGCGTACGAGTGTGGCTCGATGTGGAGACAGGTCTAATCCGGCAGCAATTGTGGAACGCTCTACCGCACGATAACGTGGCATCATGGTTTAGAGCGTAACTGCGTACGATTCCAGGTTACCTCTAGTTCGTCACTATGACAACCCTGCGGCTCGTGACACTCCCCCACCTTCAAGGAGTGCTCAATGCCCTTTATCAACAGGATACGGCCGACCAGACTGCTCGCATTAACCAACATGATCTGGAAGGTGTAGAGATGCTTTCCTGGCCACCATTCTCTTCTGATCTCTCACCAATCGAACACATTTAGGATATGATTGGGAAACATTTTCAGACTTTGCCATTGCCGCGTTCAGAAGACGATCCGTGGCAAATGGTTTACAGGGAATGGAAAGCCATTCCTCAGGACACCATCCGTAGTCTCACTGACTCTGTTTTTAGACGGGGTTGCTTCGCGTATCGCCGTCCAAGGTGGTCCTGCAGTCTGGAGCTATATCGGAGATCGTCGATCGAGTCCCCGGGGGTTCGACCCCATTCATTTCTCGTGGCGGGGACTGACAGAGTGGACAGAGAACCCACAAACAAAGAAATTTTTTCCCGAAGGCAAGGTGACAGAGTTTTTAACACAGCAACGTTTTAGTTCTGCCTAATGCTTTGCAAAAGCCGGGAGAGGGCAGCGGGGGTTGCGCTCGCGAGGATGAGGTCCCACGGACTATGCATATTTCAACTCTGTATGGGTCCTCTAGAATATGGACCTGGGTCGGAGGTCTGGTGTGTCAGTCCTGCTCTGGGGAAAGTCCCCGGACATACTGGTATTACGTACCGCATGGAAAACCATGTTGTTGTCCTTATCTCGATCGAGCCCACTGAGCCAACACTGTTCTCGCTCTGTATTATGCATATCATTTCAAAATAAAGATCACTTATTGTTCGTTGCTGTCTCTCTCTGTCTGACGAGTTTCATCACTTTCTGGTCACTCCTTCTTGGCAATGCATTTTCAATGTCGAGTAATGTAATATATCCATAACAGTGAAGTGCATAATTGTTACAAGATAGTTGACGTCATTCATTTGAATGAGAGAGTAGTCTTGATGCATTTCTAATTTATAATTTATATACTGTATGACAGACAGAATGATTAATGAAAATACAGTAACATATACAGTAAGATACATTACCTTGAACAAGCAAGTCTTGGGCTGCACTAGCATTTGTAAACTCATTACTTGCTTCACAAACGTAAGTTCCATTATCTTCTCGTTGCAAGTCATCAATACTCAAGGAAGCCAGAATCGTGGTAGCATCAACCGGTGTAACGGCTACTTGAAGGCGACTATTTGTAGTGGTGTTGACCACCTCATCCCCTTTCAGCCACTCAACTTCTGCTAATGGATGGGCTATGACTAGACACGTTAAGTTAGCTTTTTTTCCAGCCTTTTGTGCAGTTATATTATTTTCTACTTGTATTGTAACAGGAACTGAAAAAGAAAAAAAAATAAACTTAATAAACGTATTAGACTAAAAACATCATTATCAAGAATGAAGTTAATTACAAAAACAGAAAAATGTAACATGTATCATGTGCAATCCCAAATTTTGAATAAAGTGGATCTCATTGTTAAACAGAAGATAAATATTGAAAGACCAAGGTAATTAAAATGAGCTTCTGAGCATGATTTCAGTTGGTATAAGAGGTGTCATGGTCTACTACAGGCGTTGGTTGCTTTTCAATGGTCTTCTTTTTTCTTTTAGAACAAGAACCCATAACGCTGGTAAGACCCCCCTCCACGAAAAAAAAAAAAAAAAAAAAAAAAAAGGGGGGGGGACGCAAGCGTAATGTCTCGTTTAGTATCCAATACACTATCAATAGTTCTTGAGAAAGATAAACAAGTGGGGAAAACACTGTAAAACGCTCAGCAATATACGAGCCATTCCTTTTTCAAAACGGGGGCTAAATCAGTGCACGTTACTTATGGAAGAACATGTTTTATGTCTAGTTCCTTCAAAACACCAAGTATTTCAATAATATTTATATAGGATCATTATGCAAGCCATAAAATGCGCCGTGTCTCATTTTCATGGTAATGAAATTTCTTTGCCGTCCATTGTGCTTTACGCATTAGTACGTTTCCATCGTGACACACAAACACTAACTACAGATATAATACTTCAGACACCGCATCTACCTAACCCTACAGAACTGATGATAATCTTAGGCAGTGGTGGACCAATTAAAAACTATCAGTAAGCCTAAATAATGGCCGGAATTGCTGCACAATATCCGTAATACCGCTCTGGACATGAAATACTCCAGATGATAAAACTTTTATAGGTTCTCTTGGCAGGCAAGCTCTCTGTGATGCCGGATAAACTGTGAAGGTGGAATTATTGCAGAAGTAACGCATATTTCACATTGTTTGAAGTCCACGATTTTCGTTGTTGGCGTTTATAATGGTTATAAAGGGCCTGCATATAATAACAATTACCCATGACCTGCATTAGAACTACAGATAAGGGCCTGCATATAAACAACTTAAGCGTGAATATTCACTTTCCTAATCTTCGTGAAGTTTGCAAAGAACACTTCTGATGGAAACAGACAGAACAGTCGCACGCAGTAATCAATTCCGCAGAGAGCTCGACAGCGGTATTTTTATGTTTTTTAGATATAATCCGTGTTAGCGCTCGATGCATGTTTCAAAAAGCTTACTTCGACAGTTATTTCTATCAGGATGCGATTCGAACCTAGTTGGTATGCCGACATTGCGACTCTCAGTTATACTATACAGATCTGCCTACGTTGTTACAGATACACTGGTGAGATGGTACACAACTTATTTTAAAATATGTATCGCATTATCTTGTGTAAATCTTTATAGCTAGTGTACTACTGCTAAACTAATTCAACTTTCATGCGTTCCTTTAGTTGACCTAATGTAAGTGAAGATCGTAATAAATGTAACCGTAAGAAATAATGTCTATAAAAAATTTTGCAGAATTCTTTAAAATTTTGTCATCAAACAACTATAAAAAACTTATCACAGCTAGGTCATGAGGAATTAATTTTAACGAAAATTAATTAATGTAAAGTACTCAGAAAATATCCACTGGTACTTAGGTTGGTGAAAAATTAATTATGAAAAGAAGAAAAAATTAAAAACATAGTTTACTCCATCTGCTACTGAATTTTTTTAAAAAAGAGATAAACCTTTTTTAAAAAAGTATTAAACTTACTACTACAAAAGAAGTCCACTCAGATATGAAATTTTGCTGCTCTTCAAATTTCTCATTTGCATTAATATATCATTTAGCAGCAATGTAGGGTTACTCTCTTATTGGGAGAGGGAATTTCCCGACAGAGGGATATGGTAGGAGAGTCGTGCCTCGCGACCTCAGCTTTTCATAGAATATACTCCATGATTTCTTCTAGCGTGTATAACATCGAAAAAAATGTGCGTGTATCGTAAACTCGAAAGCACGAATAGTCAGCCAAAGGATTTTTCCAACAGTTTTAACACACATTTGCGCTAATATATTGGTTTCTGTTACTTATAATTTCTTTTTCAATTATTTTATAAAATGTGTCAAGGATTTTCGCATCGCCCTTGAATTTATGAAGATAAAAAAAAGCAGGAGACCCTTGTTATTTGGATTTCAACATTTTGGATGTTGTTATTTTCAATTTTAGCCCCTTTTCAGTTCTTTCCTTTCAATCATTCTTTCGAGTTCCTTTTGGAGTTGATAGCATACTTCACCTTAATTTTTTTTCATACTTGCATCCTTTTTAAAATTTGTTAAAGAATTTTTTGTTTCATTTTATGATTTCATATTAGCGTTACAAAGAAGGATACAAATGCACATATGTTCCAAAAACTGAATTTTCTTTCATATTTCGACTTTTTGAAACAGAAGCTAAATAAAATTTTTTTTGAAACGGAATTTTTGAAGCAAGGTATTTCGTCTTTTTAAAAAAATTTTTTTAAGAATGGATGCTGAAATTTAAAAAAGGTAAATTCATGAAAATGGTTTTTTGAAAATAACTTCCGTGTTTTTACTAAATTGTATTAACCCTTATATACAGATAAGAGCACTTGCCTATACAATTGGCTGGGTAGAAGTTTTATAACTTTACTTAGGCTTTCTGTGCAATAGTTACAATTAATTTTTCTTATTTTTGAACTAGAAGGCGAAAAATGCAGTGCTAAAAATCGACGATGAACAAAAAGTTATTCCACTAATTTTGACACAAATCTGCACTGAAAGGCTAAAGAAGATGAGAGAATTTATATTAAGGCAGAGTAAAAGGTATTCATAAGCAAGCTTTAGTACTGATTGAAAGTTAAAGTAATAAGTTTCAATCGCATCAGTTCGTCAAAATTTAGATTCAGGTTTTCCGAAAAGCAATCTTAAATTACTTTTAAAAATACGAAAGTACTTTGCAAAATGCTTCCAGTAATTTAAAACGAGGAGGCAAAAGCTAAAGCGAAAAGAAAAGCCATTTCCAATAAATTGAGCTCCCCCTCCTCGCGTTATGTAGAAACGGAAAACCAGAAAACATTTTAAAAGCACAGTAAGGAAGACTAAAGAACAAACTAAAATATCGGAGTTGTAAATCGCTTGTGTCCTACCAGTCTAGCACTGCTACGGGGCTTGGTCAAGAATGCGTTCGATTTCTACATGACAGCTTTACAACTAGGCTATCATGCGATTAAAAAAAATTAACTCTCACAGACTATCACATTTCAGTAATCTCACGATTGACTTCTTCAAAACTTTTACAGAATATATATGAAGTTTAGAGCACTTTGTTATATTTTTATTCTCTATCTATACATTATCCAAGGAGTTCTTAATTCGTAATACAGCATTGCTGAACAGATGCTTTAAATTGATTTTAATTCGGAAGGGGGAGAGACGGGTGATACAACGATTCGCAGTTCGAAAGAAAAATTTACAAGAGTCAAATCATTAATTACTCGAGAAGTCAAAATTTCTGATTGCTTAATGGCATTTTATACACAGAAAATCTAGTTAGGAAATCCTACTTGTAGGAAGCGTGATGCTATTCGATTAAATGTAAAAGTTCTCGGATTTTTCAGTTTCAAGATTTCTAGTGCTATTTGACCGTTTTACCTTGAGGGGGTGGGGGTTCCTGTCAGTCGCAAGTGAGAAATACAAATATTAAATGGTACATTTTGAAGTTAAATTACATGCTTCTGCAATCTTTAACGTCACGGACATGGTCATATTTGCGCTCAAAATCTGTGAGCTGCTTCGCTATAATTTTATTACTTTCTGCACCATCTTAAGAAGCGAGAAAGTAACTTACTAAAAGAGCAGAAAGCATTTTTTTCGGTGAAGTCTTTTCCTTACCAAATGAATCGGAAGGTACCCGCTACGCGAAAGAAATCACATCAAGAAATTTAGTAGCAGGATGAACGCAAAATTCCGCAGTTGCATTTAGGATTACGAAATTTCCTTTTATTTATTTTCACTTTACTTTTACACTTTCACTATCTTCGCTTCCTGCTTCTTACGCCATTTAGCCACATTTTTTCTGGTTACTATAACTACATGGCTTAACAGTCGAGGCAATATAGGCAAAAATACACAAAATGCAGAAAGATTTGAATGACAAACAGGCCTTCGCCCCTTTCAAATCAAGAGATTTAACTTAGACCCTTGCTGAAATAAAGTAATACTTGTAAAAATCACGAAATCACAAAACATGCAAACAAGAAATCTTCAGAGAATGGTATCAACTTAAAAATTTTAACCCTAATAGTTTTTGAAGATGCTTCTCTTGCTCTCTGTAAAGTTAAAGGTTTATGCACAATTTTTTAGAAGAATGAATAACATATTCGTTTACTGAAAGTTATAGTGAATCACTTACTACATATAAAAGAAGCATATTCAGTTCTTAGATAATGCAGATCTTATATAAATATTTTAATAGTATAGATTTAGAAAAAATTTTGAAATTCTGTAATAATCTAGGGAAAAAAAAAAAAAAAAAAAAAAAAAAAAAACATATAAAGCAGAAAAACAAGTAGATGGCTAGGGAATATAAATTTACAGTTTGCGAACAGCAAGAATTCGAAACTGGGTAGTCTCTAAACATATATGATTTAAAAATATCACTTAAATTTACTTAAAGCTTTGAATCATAAATTATTACTTTACAACATCTCAAAGCTTCAACAGGTTTATAGTATTAATTCAAAAGTCAAACAACAAAAATCAGCGTTATATTTCAAAATTTTCACAGGACTAGTTTTGATAGTTTTACCGAACCATCATCCTCAGCTGCAAAACCGCAAATGAACAAGATAGGAAATAATGATTAGATAAGATAAGAAAGCCTGGACAAGAGTCAGCAAGTGGCGCCATCTGTTGGTAAAACCAGAACTAAAACATAATTTCTTTAAAGGCTGAAGGCAAAGATGGATTGTAATTAGGATCGTTAACTAGAACAGAA